TATATATATATATATATATATATATATATATATATATTGCGAGACATGAGTCTGTATGTACACACGTCTCAAAGAGACTTGTCAAACCAAGTTGATTCGTAAGCAAATATAAAAAAAAAGGTTGTCATAAATAAAAGTGAGACCCAATAGTTAATTACACGAAAAACCCGCTGTGTGGATGTATCTATACAATTGTAATTATCCATTATCACCATATATATTTATTTATTTTATTCAATTAATATTTATCATATTTTCTGCAATTGTGTTATACTCTTCATAAAATTTGGTTAATAGAACAAGTAAACATGGTGTTATCGCGATTGATGTGGGCAAAGTTATTTAATAGTGGATATTCATATAGATAATTTATCGGAAAATTAGGTATAATATCCATGGCGTATCTAATCAAAACTAGAAAAATATTTTTAAAATTTATTATGAAATGATTTTTAGTATCGTAAACATTATTAAAATATTCTCAATATATATTCAAAATTATAAATTTATGTTTCCTAACTTTTGATTTAAAAAATCATCATTATTCGAAATTCGAACATCTGATATTTTTAAAATATAATTTGGGATAATAAATTCATTACCCCTTATAGCATTTAATATACGATCATTTTAATACACATGCCATTGCATGTCTCGTGGATCACAGGAAAATCCAATGGAAAAGTATTTAGTCGTACTTTGAAAATCGAATCTAGAGGCTGTAAACCGAGACAGTTGACCTTTCTCCACATGTATTGTACTTAGACCACGGGAGAAAAATAATGTATTTAAATATATTATTAAAATATTGATTATAATAATTTAAACTAATATCAATTAACACGAAATAATAATAGTCAATCATCGGGTTTTCGACAAATCACATTAACATTACCATATATAATATATGTCATTAAACCATCTGTTGAGAAAATTGATTATTCGGTTGAATTAGGCAATTACTCAAAAATAGAATCACAACACCAAAATGTTAGTTAAAAAGGGGAAGTAACCACGGCCGAAAACGTAAATAATCAAACAAGATAACAGAGAAACCAACACAGGGAAAAAAATCAAACCTAATGAATCCTAATTATTTTGTTTTTGGTGAAGAGAATCCTAATTATATGAAATTTTGGGTTGTAATTATCCTCTTATCTTCTAATTTTGGGTTCCTCTTTCACTATATATACGTTGCAACCCAAAGCCATCTCATCAATTACAACTGTATTTAGAATCAATTACAACTGTATTTAGAATCAATTACGACGTTGTAATTATAATTATACAGTTTTGTTAAGGTTAAGGGTAATATGATCTTTTGGAAGAAAATTTAATGGGTTATAATTTTTTTTGGGTGTATACTAAGAATTGGTATATTTGAGTCCGTCGAAGGGGAAGGAGATATTAGATAGATAGGGTTCAACTTCTACGACATCACGCGAATCCTTCGATCTACTCTCCTCCTCCTCTGAAGCCCCCCCCCCCCCCTCTCTCTCCCTCTCTCTCTCTCTCTCTCTCTCTCTCTCTCTCTCTTAGAGGGTCTTATCTAAGGCAGAGAGAAGATAAACACATTGAGCATTGAAATTATGAGCGTCTCGAAGATTGCCCACGTGCTGTTGTTGCTGCTCGTGTTAATAAGCGTAAACAGCAATAATGGTGTCAAGGCGACGCATAAGGTCTTCAAGAGATTTCAGTCTCAATCCGTCGACAGAGTGGGCCCTCTTCATAGAACTGCCTTTCACTTCCAACCTCCCATGCATTGGATCAACGGTACAATCTCTCCCTAGATCTCTCTCTCTCTCTCTAGTTTATCTGATTTTGTGTGTTCGGTTTTAGATTCTTCAATAAGATATTTTCTTACAGTTTTTGTTTATGGGGATATAAAGTAGTGAAATTTGGAATCCATTGTTCTTTATGTGAAACGTTCTTCTCTCAAAATTGCATCTTTTGACGAGTTTTCTCATCATTTTGTTCAATAACCATGAAAACTCGTATTAATTCATTTTCATTGTTTATTATTTTGATAACGTTGATTGATTAGGATAACTATTAGAATATATATTTATCTATATTCTCTAATATAAAAAATAACTGTTTGAGTCATGGAAGTAGACGAAGAGAAAATAATAATATACATTATTATAATAGTCTTCTCCTCTGCATGTTTACGTAATTTGGGTCGTCGTAGAATTTTATAATAGCCGGTTTTTCAATTGCTTTGTCTATGCAAACATTCAAACTTTTGCCACATAATTTTGACCTAACCAAGCAAACGTGGAGATATAAAATACATCCTTTTTTGTCGTTTGAATTAATTGTTTTAATCATTCAATATGTCAAACAATGTAATTAATCACCTTTTTTTTTTCCACGAAGCACACAAACACACCCTAAACCCTAAATGTATTTGCATATAGTGTATAATATGAAAACTGAAAATTACAAAATTATTTTTTTTTTACGTGAAAAACGGCCAAATCTAATTAGTTTCGTACGTATATATTATATCAAACGGAGCGATATTAAAGTTATAGATATACTCGTATCTCCATAGTAAAACCTTATATATATATATATATATATATATGCGTGTATATATATATATATATGCGTGTGTATATATATATATATATATTCTCAAATCATTTATGGATTTAAATTGCTGATTGGTTTGGATTGGAGAGGCTTTGATTGGGACAGAGCCTTTTACAAAATGGATACTCAAATATAAGACAAGCTAGATGTCTTTTTAGCCACAAAGGAGGGTTTGGCACCACTGTAGAAAAATAATATAAAATTAATATTTTCCGGTGGAAGAAAATTGCACGTTTGACCAATTTTTTTTTCCAGTGAGATTTATATTCACATATATAGGTACATATTTATTCTGTTCTGTTTATGAGACTGCAGACTTTTCTTTGTCTATTTAAGGACGTATTTTTATATTGTATGTTTTCAGAAACTGCAGATTTTATCCTAAATAAATATAGATTTTATCCTATAGTATTATATAAATTGCATATCATAAATTTGTATTTTTTTTAGGAACCCATTATCTGAAATTTAAGTCTTCTTATTCATAAAAACATTTTTAACAAAAAATATATATCCAATTAAGTGTTCCTAAGTCTCTTGTTTCATATTTATTTGCAAGTTTTCTATAAAGAAATTTATATGTTCACATGGTTCACGTCATTTTTCCAAACTTTCCGACTTCCAAGAAACATATAAAAAATAATTAATTAGGAGATATTTCGCATTCAGGTTTCATTATTTCCGTTTCATATATTTTCTTCAAATTATATTTATTCTATCTTATGGTAAACTTCATTAAAGAATCTTATATTCAACATTACTTTTTATTTGTTTTGATCTCATAAATAAATATGATGTTTATTTAAATTAATTAACTAATCAATTCTATATTATCCAAATTAAGATACCATAACTAATAAGATTTCATGCAATTAATTTTACCAAATATTTTGCATTTTCAGTAAACAGTGTGTTCCAATTGCTTTTTTTCATCTAGTATGTTGATTTCTATTAATATTTATTTTGAAGAGGCATGTATCGTGATTGACTTGATAAGTCGCAATAAATAAAAGGAGATTATACTATAAAAAAATACTTACTTATTTTGTGATGATTATCCATTTATAAATTTTTTATTCACGTGATGAAATTTTATTATGAACATTTGTATTAATTCTTGACATTTAAAGTAAAGGCAAATTTGCGTCCAGACTCAGACGGAAGACTTTCATTCATGTGATTTTGTATAATATCTTGCATAGATATTCTCTTACGATTTTATTTAGTTTCTGATTTTCAAAAATCTAATTTCTATCATTCCTAATTAATTTAATTTAATTTCACTGATCACCTTTTATTTGCTTTCGTGTGCTTTCATGTATTTTCCACTTGGCGTTTCTCCCTCCAAAGACCCCAATGGTAAGTCTCAATCCATCAAGATAATTTTCCCTTTTTGCGTTGGAAAAAAAATCTAAAAATACATAACCATATTATATTTAGTATTTTTAATATCTTATTTATTATTAAAATATTCAATTTATATATTTTGCATTTTGATTTTAAATTATATTATACAGAATTATAAAAAAATGTTGCGGCATTTTGATCGATTAAGAATAAAAAGTTATAAAATTATGACGTTATGATTTTTTTCAAAATATAATTTTAAAATATAAAATAATTTAAAATTGTGAATATTAAGTTTTTTTTAAAAAAAGTTCAAGTTGAGAATTTGAGTTTTTCATTTAATTTTAATTAATTAATGAGATAATGCAATGCATCATGCATGTTTATGTTTTGAAACAGGTCCAATGTACTACAAAGGGATATACCATCTGTTCTACCAATACAACCCAAAAGGTGCAGTTTGGGGAAATATCGTGTGGGCCCATTCGGTTTCTAGAGACTTGATCAATTGGAAAGCACTTGAACCGGCCATTTACCCATCCAAATGGTTTGATATCGGCGGCACATGGTCCGGTTCTGCCACCATCATACCGGGCAAAGGACCGGTTATCCTCTATACCGGCCTTGACAAAAATGCAACCCAAATGCAAAACTATGCGATTCCCGAAGATTTGTCCGATCCGTATCTTCAGAAATGGGTTAAACCGGATGACAACCCGATAGCTGCACCGGACGAAACCATGAACCGGACCGCTTTCCGTGACCCGACCACGGCTTGGTTAGGCAAAGATGGTCATTGGAGAATGTTGGTTGGTTCAAAACGCAAACACAGAGGGATTGCTTACTTGTACCGGAGCCGAGATTTCAGGAAATGGGTCAAGTCCAAACACCCTCTCCACTCCAAACAGGATACCGGTATGTGGGAATGCCCTGATTTCTTCCCGGTTAGCTTAACCGACCGTAAGAACGGTCTGGACTTCGGTTACAGTGGTCCGAACATCAAGCACGTATTGAAGGTCAGTTTGGATTTGACCCGGTACGAATACTATACACTCGGTAAGTACCATACCGACAAGGACCGGTACGAACCGGACGGTTCATCTCCCGACGGTTGGGACGGTTTGAGATTTGACTATGGTAACTTCTATGCTTCAAAGACATTCTTCGACTCCAAGACTAAAAGAAGGATTTTGTGGGGTTGGGCCAATGAATCTGATACCGTCTCAGATGATAACAGTAAGGGCTGGGCAGGAATTCAGGTTATGATCGATCAAATCCCCATCCAATTCGATAAATTTCGAATCATTTTCAGTTTCTTTTTACACATTTTCTTTTGTGTGTTCATTCAGCTTATTCCAAGAACCGTGTTGCTTGATTCGAGTGGCAAACAGTTAGTGTTTTGGCCGATCGAAGAGATCAACACGTTGAGGGGTAAAAACGTTCGGATTAAGAACAAGAAACTCAAGTCGGGCCAACGTTTCGAGGTCCGAGGAATCACCCCGGCTCAGGTACATAACAGCAAGAAGCTATCCTCGGGACCGACCGTTTAAGGTTTTGTAACGAATATCATCTAAAATCATGTTGTTGAACAGGCGGATGTCGAAGTGACGTTCAACGTCGGAAGTCTTGAAAAGGCCGAGCCTTTCAACCCGAAGTGGAAAAACGCACAGGACCTGTGCAACATGAAGGGTTCGACCGAAAAAGGCGGTGTCGGTCCCTTCGGTTTGATCACGCTGGCCACTCCGGACTACGAAGAGTACACTCCCGTCTTCTTCAGAGTCTTCAGAGACGCTACCGCTAAGAAACCGAAGGTGCTCATGTGCTCCGACGCCAAGAGGTGTAGCATCTTTTGACTCCGACGCCCTCTTCGATAGAGATTTCGAACAAAAAACCGTTTCGAGTATTGATCTCGTGTTTTTCTTGGTTCACGCAGATCATCTATAAGGACGGACGACGGCAATGAACCGAAAGAAAAAATGTATAAACCGTCTTTCGCCGGTTTTGTTGACGCGGATTTTGCAGACGGAAGAATCTCTCTTCGGAGTTTGGTACGTCGGTGTCTCTGGTGATATACCGTATAAATACAACCGATCTATTTCATAACGGCGTACATATAAATATTTTGTAGATCGATCACTCGGTGGTAGAGAGTTTCGGGGCAAAGGGGAGAACGGTGATAACGTCACGGGTGTACCCAGAGAGAGCGGTGACGAAGAATGCTCACTTGTACGTTTTCAACAACGGCACGCAGCCGGTGACCGTCGAGTCCCTGAGCGCTTGGAGCATGAAGAAGCCTCGGAAGATGAATTAATGAGCGAGCCCTCTTCTACTTGTTTTTTAACTTTAATATATAGATGTTGTGTTCCTTGAAAATAATTTGACGATTTCCTGGTTAACTATTCGGTTTTAAATTTGTAAACTTTTTTTTTTTTTTTGGTTTATTCCGTACCCCCGAACCTCTAATGTTGGCAAAAATTCCAAAATATAATTAATTTATAGAACTGATGTCATCATAAGGAGACATCCCTTTTTATTCAAATTTATGATAATTATCCCTCAGTTGATTCAAATTTATAAAAAATAATCTGGGCCTTGTCATATGGCCTAATCCGTGAAGGAAATAGTGAAATTTTAAAGTTCCTAGCATGTTTTAAGTTTATTAAAGACCCTTTGGAGCTAGAATTTAAAAAGAAAGGTATAAGAAACAACCCCATTTGCATTTGCAAGTTGGAACTTATAATTTCATTATGTAACACATGGAAGCTAACAAATTTCCCTATAAATGATCAACAAAAATGGCAGCCTCCTAATAAGTTTAAGAGCCGAAAGAGCTAAAAAGCTTGGAACAAACATCAAGTAGCAAAATATCATTGGAATTGATATGGCAAACAACCATGTTCTGATCACTTAAAAGTTATAAAACTCAAAATCGAGGTTCATATCAAAGGGTAATTCACTTGAAGGGATAAAGGAGAAAAGACAATCATCAGCTTCATAATAAATAGCTCACTTGATCTTCTTCTTCGGCCTCAGCTGCAGAAAGACAGGAAAAAATTGTGTTTCAGTGGCAGAGAAATGAAAATGAATGTAAGTGAAGAACACCAACAACAATACCTGGTTGCTGTGGCCACATTTCTTCTTCCTGCAGTTCACAGCCCTCGGATGCAGACGTGCATAACACCTTTTCAAAGACGCAATGGAATTGAACAAACACACAAAGGAATCTTTACATTACAGTTCTCATCAATTCAACCAGACCCAATTCAAGGTCATATTGAAAAGTTTAAGTGCTAAAGCAAAAGGCGACAATGAACTTATATTGATAAGGGTTGCTTCAGAAGAACAACAATGCCACTATGAAAGCTGATTGCTGAATTCCTTCCAGAAAATGATTACCGTGATTAAGCGAAAAGGTTTGTCAGTTTAAAGAACCGAAATTGATCCAAGGGTTCAACACAGTCCTCTTATGACGGATATCTACTGATGATTCTAGCATTGATTTACCAAGAAATATATGTACCACTCAAGAAAATCAACTGGAAAAGACAAAAATTTGGCCAGCCGACAAAGTTTACGAATGGAATGTTTGTATCGGGAACTCGTATTAACCTCGCTCGCATGGTAGAGCATGAGAAGCTAAGTCAATTCCCACATTAAAACAAAACTTATCATACAACCACATTCATCAAGTGCATAACATTCCAAAACCTAGATGGAGAAAACATCACAGAACCAAAGGACAGACAGAATACATATCAGACAAAATCAGAAACTAAATTTACTTACTTGCGGCAAATCATTTTGTCTTGGTTGTATTTGCGAGCCAAAGCCATCAAAGATGGTTCGATGATACCTCCTCTAAGCCTCAGCACGAGATGCAACGTCGACTCTGTTCACACAAAAACGATTTAAGAAATGAACTAATTACGCATCTCTAAAGAAAACTTCCAACAAATAAAAAAATATCGAATCGAATTTTTCCTAAAAAATCGACCGATATCAACTAACGGATGAAACCCAAGTCAGATGTCAGATCAGTAAGTTCCAATGAACAGATAATCAAACTAACAGTAAACAAATTTACCTTTCTGAATGTTGTAGTCTGCCAAGGTACGACCGTCCTCGAGCTGTTTCCCGGCGAAGATCAACCGTTGCTGGTCCGGAGGGATTCCTGTCGGAGATGCAAAAACGATAAGAAGAGATCGGAATTCAAGAACTACACAAAGGCGAAGATCGGAGCAGCAAGTAACATCAATTACCTTCTTTGTCTTGGATCTTAGCTTTGACATTGTCGATGGTGTCGCTGCTCTCGACCTCGAGAGTGATGGTTTTGCCGGTGAGGGTTTTCACGAAGATCTGCATCTTTGGTTTCTCGTCCGCTGGGAACGTAAAATGGGTATCGGAAGA